GAATCTCATCAGAAAGTACGAAGGAGAAGGGAGAGAAATCCTCGTGGATACGCGATAAACGCGTGCAAATAACGTTTCCCTTATCTCTCCATTGCGCCGGGGTAGAAATCTATAATCTGTGCAAACAGTGTGCCCCGTATTCACGATTTTTCGTCGCGCGAAAAGAGTCAACGTATTTCTCGTAAGTAGCTGTTACGAACGCAGACGATGTTCCACTCGCGATAAATTCGACGGCCACTACTCGTTTCCCCGAACACCCGTTGTATTTTTTGCGCTGTAGCGCTTAATGAACGAAAACTACTTCGAGAACGTACCAGCCGATAACCGTAATTAATCACCGACCAATATCTTCATCGCCGCTCCTTCCCATTACGACCGCGGTGTACGAGGCAACAGAGTGGAACACGGCCGATCGAGATCGATTTCTCGCGATGCCTGGTCGCGTAGGAACGTAAGGGAATACGGGAAACCCTATAGTAAATACCGAAATTGGAAACCTCCTGCTTCCAGGAAGCTCGAATGCAGCACGAAAAAGCCTTGGTCCATATGGAGAGCGACCCGAGGGCTACCCCCACCCCCGCCCCCACTCCATGCCCCCACCGTCGGTATCAAGGGCTCTATCTGGGTTGGCCCGTTGGCCGCGCGGCAGCGTGGTCATCGGACTGAAGGGAGAGAGAAAGGAATACGAGCAATAAGGATAGAGGACTCGCACGAAAACAAGACGAAGAGAAGCGACTGTCGATTATTCGGTGTCTAAACAAACTAGGGCCGGTCCTGCGGCTCGCCACCCCATGCTGTATTCGTTTTAACAAGGACCTTGTTATAATATTTTATTGCGTCCCGCGTATATTGTGCACCATCTTATCCTACGAATCTCGTTTCTACCAACGATATATTTTCGTTAACGTGGTTTAAATTATCGCGCCGCGAAACGATCGCGTGGATGAGTATACGCTAAGAAATAGTCTAGTAACGCGTGCAAGTTTTAGGTTATGGTAATTTTTTCTCCTAATAAAATTGATTTTCAGATTAAATGTGTAACCTTGATGGATGTAATTGTACACTGGAGGTTCTTTGTTGGTAATGATGAACACCCAGTTTTTTGGTCATGATACGTGTTCTCGGTTTATCGACTAAATGTGTTTACTGGAAAAACGAGATTCCCATTAGTTATCCTTTATCGACGATGACACGTGAACGAGTTCTGTTTTTATGTTAAACAGGATTATCTGCTACGTGTTTGAGTTAAGAAACGTTACTCCGGTCAGTTAGAGCCTAATGTACATTTCCATGAAGGAGTACACTTTGCAGAGACTAGTAAAACTTTTGAAAAAGATTTGTATCTTTTTGAAAATTTATCTTCCATTTTTAACTCTTTGCACTGGGAATTATTTTTCAACTTTGTTGCCAATAATTCCCTACTATTTTAAGTATTTTGTTTGAAATTTACTTTACAGGACAGTTCCTCAACTGCTACTTATTTTAAAAATTTTGTTTACTGATCATATTAAATATAGCTCTCAAATATTGTTGTAATTTATTAAATTTTAAATTTAATGAATTCAAGTAATTACTTATTTTCTGTTCTCTTGTTCAGTAAATAAAAAATCACAAAACGTCGAATGTAATTCAATATAGGAGTTTTTGTAATAAAAACTGATATCGAGTCACACTCGACAAAAGAGTGCAAAGGGTTAATACATGTTTAGAAATAATTTTTATTTTTAATTAACAATTTCTAGTAAAAAATATATTTTTTCTAAAATAATTAAAATATTAAAATTTGAATTTTATTTCATGCCTTTATTAACCCCTTACGACTCTGTGTCGCCATTTAATAAGATTCTAAAAATCGATGTTAATTAATATATCAAATTTAAAATTATCCAACGATGCATGGAATATCGAAGTAAAATAATTCTTCGTTTTAATTTGTATACGACTTCTTATTTACCATTTTAAAAATATCGTCGACTTCGAATTACTATTTTTCTGTAACGAAAAGATCGCCTAATCACTGATATACATTTGCATTAAAATTTCCAAAAATTACAGTTGACAATATTGTGCAAACAATATGACACGCATGGTAAGAAGAAAGTTTCAAAATTATACCAGTAAAATTAGAAAATATTTCAATACAATACATTTATCTTACATTTATCGGAGATATGGGCTGTGGTGGCGCTAGTGAGTTAAGTGGAAAAACGTCTTAATACTTAAAACACTTACTCGTAAGAGGTTAAACTACTTTCCTGTATTATACCTGCATTACAATCTCTAATTTAAACAGAAAAGCAGATTGCAAACGAATAATACTTCAATAAAACAATTATACGACTAATTCGAAAAGAAGTCGGACCACTTCTTGAAGAATGCCTAATCTTGAATATCGTTATTTACATTTTTCGAATATTACCACGCACCCGGTTATTAATCACACAGGTACATACGCAATATTCGCAGGAACATAGAAACTCGCCATTCCTTTGTTACGAACAATCCCGCATTAAACGCGAATAAAACGAGCAAAAGGCAATAAACGGTGGTAGCAGACACGACGCAAGCGGCAAGGCATATTCAAACCCTTTCATTTCAGCGAACGGCACGCTGCTAATATACACCGAATTTATAGGTGCAATTAATAATCGTAATAGCCGTCTCTAAATAGCGAAACGCGCGATCCGATTCCTTTTCATTCGCCCGAACGGCGTGGCGTTAAACTACAATTCGATTTCACGCGAGACCCTTGACGCGGAACGCGTACGAGTTAACCGAAGAGGCTGTACAGATGCATAACGAAACGCGCGTCGTCGACCGTGGAACGAGGCGCGAAGTGCGCGGCTGAAAACGCGCAATCGTACGCGCGAGCGCGTTTCCCGCAGCGGAGAATCGGCGAATCAGCGAATCGGCAATTCGCGCGGGTTCAGGTGTCGTCGCGAGCCCGCCCCCACCCCTCTCCCGCGCGCGCCGATGCAAGCGAACCGGCTCGACGCTTTTCGCGGATCAACGAGCCGAGAGCGAATTATCCGCCGCCGTGGAAGTTATCGGGGAAATATTGGAAAGTTCGTGGCGTCGAGTGGCTTTTACTCGTTTCCGGTACAACGGTTCCACCGGCGCCCGATTTCTGACTAACAGCGACTACAAATAAAATCCGGCAGAGCACGCCTGACGGGGAAGAAAGAAAATCGGGAGCGTGAGAATGGAACAAACGATCGAGTATCGTAGGACTGAAATCAACCACGTCGCCCGTGAGATTTTAATGGGTCGTTGAACCATGCTCCCGAGCATTCGCGTGTCCGTCCAATCGTATTTTTATTAGACGATCCTGGAACGTGGTCCGATTCAAAAATAACGGCACTGTGCGTTTTTATTTTTTCCAAATTTTTCTTTTTTTTTCTGGAGCGGCATGAAAGTAATCACACCGTCAAAGACCTCGAGAGTATATCCGCGCTCTTTGCAGTGATACTGCGGATCTTCAGCCTTTGGAGAATGCTTTCAATTGTATGAAAATGAGAACCTTTTGGACGACCTTCAATTCTGACGGATAGTACGAGGTTGAGATTCGGATCTGAGATGCAAGGGTGATAGTATATTATCATAATTTTCTTTGCGGGGTAAAATTCGTTAAATAATGCAGTGTGAGCGGGTACATTATCATAATGGAATAATCATAGTGTACACTTACCCAATGGATCGTTATTTAATAATTATTCCGTATCTGCTAAGCTTACCGTGCACGTAAGTATATGCAAGTCGAGAGACTTGCGTTATAGTTGGTACATTAGCATTTAGACAATTGTAGGACGTTTCTAGAACCGTTAATCTAAAGCTTATTACCCCGCGGTAATACCATTTGTAGAATAACTCATCCTTCTTAATAACCGTTAAAGGACGCCATTGAGAAGAAGCAGACGTGAGAGTTTTACGAATTAATTGTACGCGTAATATTTTCATGTACTCCGGCTTTAATATCGCAGCGGTATTGATAGATCTCCATTACCCGTGGTACAGGAACTTATGACACTTTTACTATACTATAAATTACCCCGACTTGACCTATACCATTTTAATGCTCTATTAAGCACATTGACAGTTGGCGATTATATATAAAATTGCATAGAATTTTCAAGAGTTAATGAAGCTAATACGTAGCCGCATGAACGGTGTAACGTGATGATAATTATTCATTAGTCGAGTGAAATCCCGGTACTATAAACCTTTAACGCCAGCGATTCTTCAATGTCCGCTGGCTCAATTATAATGCCGGGCACTAATCACTATCTTAATGGACTTTTGATCGGTGGTTAGATGTCCAACGACGGTGTATACTTTAATGGATTTATTAGGTCGCTTGTATTAAAAATCGTTTTAAATTGCGCGCCAGATATGAATGTTAAAAAAAATTTCGCAATGACATAATATCGATTGTCCGAAGGAATGACCCCTATATTTACATTTATCTCTAATTGTCAAGAAGAAAAGGGCTACCTAAAATGATATCTCGTTTTTATAATTATTTTACATCTTTTCGAAACGTTGAAATATTAATAATATGTAAAGAAACGTAATATTAAATTTAACAATAATAAATTACTATAGTTTGCGCCATAATTGTATAATGAGGACTATTATGAATTTACTATATACGAATAACTATAATTCTTATAATACAATGTCATAAAAATGTCATTTTTCACTCTCTATATTGATAAATATATCTATGACATAAACTATGCACTTACGTATAGAAGGGCAATATTATTAAAAATTTAAGGGATATATAAAAGAGCAGAATATCGTAACTGTATTGTATTTTGATACGAAAAATGGTTGAATGAAATATTCCGTCTAGACGTATAAAAAGATTTTATCACATATTATTCACAGAAGTTGAAGTCTACGAAAAACATGCATACAAAAAATATTATATTTAGGGAAGCCGGAGCGACGGTAACGGAAGCGTGAACACAAGCGTAAAGGAATACACTTTTGCTTACCCATCAGTTTCCGCACTTCTGCTTGGCTGAGAAAAAGGTTGAAGTAACTTGCACCTGGCCGCACGAGAACGAACAGCAACACTGCCAATTTTAGGAGCATCGTGTCCACCACGTGCTTAACCGGTTGTACGTACTGGGTAGCCGTAAACACGAGTTACGTTATGCTGTAAACAACGTTAAAGTCTTCTAACACGACTCATGGTCCACGAGTATCGTAAATCGGTGTCGATTTCACGGATGCAGACGCACGTGACAGCACCTCGTTTAGCTACAGTATTCACGACTGGATGAGAATAGTTACGTATCTCGACGGGATCGCACGACTTCTTCTAACGGACTGGATTTTTTGACAGTTCGTCGCGTGAAACTTGCCGAACCGTGTAATGGCACTTCGGATACTACGAACGTTGACGAGCTGCTTCGACAGTGTTCATTCGTTCGAGAGACAATGCGTGCAAGAAACGATCTGAAGATTAAACGAAAAACAGAATACGAAGCGAGAATGCACACACGAAGAGGAGCGCGCGACGTACTACTTGCCTCGTGAAAGCCACAACCAGTTGTGTGCTCCGACCGCCATGGGTCGACCGGGGTCGACGCAGGCTCGTCGAGCCGAAACTGGCCGAGTCTGGCCGAACTCGACCGAGGTCCACCCACGAGAAACATTCGTTCTAGCCGTTCCGTGGATCGGATGGCCTCGGTCCTTCGATGCAGCGGCAACTAAGAAGAGAATTAAAATTCGATTCGCCAGCAAGTCGTTAAGATTTACGACGAAGAATAATTAGGCTTGATTTTTAGAGATAGCAGTCGTTCGTTATCGATACCGGTATGAGGTGGATGGAACATGTTATGTTAACTTTTCGAGAAAATCGGTGGAGCGAAACGGAGCTCGTGAATCAGTTGTAGCGCGCGCTTTTGTTTCGTTTACTCGGATGTTACTTGTTGCATTTTCGCGACAAGCTCACGCGCTGTTACACGATTTTCAAGTTTGAAAATTACTGGTTGCGCGTCATAAATTTCATTTCAAATTTGATTAGGATTATTAATTACAACCGTAAGAACTATTAAAGATTATATTAATAGATTCTGTACACGTTAAGTTTCAAGTTTCGAACTTCTTTTTATCTAAAACTAGTTTCTTTCCTGGTGGATTATTTATCACGACTTATATAGGGAGAAAAATTAATATTTCATTAAATTATATCTTATAGATATAGTTACAATTATAACTACAACTATCATTTAGCTTCTTTGTACCTGAAACTAGTTTTCTTCTGGTAAATTATTTCTCACGAGAAATCTAGGGAGAAAAATCACGATTTTTGTAATCGTTTAGCATTAAATTATATGTTATAGATATACTTACAATTATAACTATGACCATCATTTATATTATTATAAAAAATGCAAATAAATAATAATTATTATTTTAGATTAAATTTAAACTGTAATCCAGCATCATGTTATTATTTTTTACATCTACTACACATATTTATATAAATTATTGAAGAATAATAAAATGTATGTAAATTATTAAAAAATTTGTAACTTTTATCTAATATCAAAGTTACTCGATTGATACTATTTTTTCTATTGAAATTTATTTTCCATACTTTGTTTCTTACAAATGCAAACAAATAGTAATTATTATTTTAGATTAAATTAAAACTTTAATCTACCCTTACATTATTATTTTTTACATCTGCAACACGTATTCATATAAATTATCGAAGAATAATAAAATGTACGTAAATTATTAAAAAAACTTATAACTTTTGTCTGAAATCAAAGTCACTCGTTTGATACAATTTTTCCTATTAAAATTTATTTTCTATATTCTATCCGTTATTCAACATTAAAAAAGAAAATGCCGAGGTTGTAGATTATTATTTACAATAACAACATCTCTCGAAAATATTTGTATAATTCGTTACCCGTAGTTCGTTACCCAAAGTCTGGATCGAATCACGTGATAATGATATCACCTGTATTGCAGTCGAATAGCAGGCAAGTACTCGATAACCGAAGGTTCGGTCTCGCGGAACCTAAATTGCTGTATCAAACATCGTCGAATTTAATCGGGGTAGAGTCGTCTGTAATTTCTGCGTTCGTTATTTACATAATTTGAGATCAACAATGGTTAGAGAGAACGCCCACGTAGACGTTAACAAATCGCGATCCTCTTTCGTTCTTTTCCCCTTTCTTTCTAGACTATCTGGATGCGCCTGATTGCCGAACGTCATTATTACGGACCAAGAGATGAATCGGGACAAAAAGTACAGGTACGAAAGCAAAACACAGAAAACGACGAAATGAAGCAGGGAAGAAGAGAAGCAACTGCGAGAAGAGGAGGATGGATAGACGGAATTCTTCAGGAAACTCATGGCTGATTGAAAAGTTTGCTGGGATAGAAGAGAGGAGCGACCAGAAGATGAAAAAGAATAATGGCGATTATTTTCTTGCGGGATAAGCATTGTTCGAACGCATTCATCTGCAAGGTTAATCCCCTGTTACCGGCCTAGCTACAAGAAACGCAAATTCGTTCGATTTTCCATCTCCTACCGTTTCACTTTTCTCTTCGGGTACTCAGCGTGTAGTTATTAAGTTAATCTCCACGATTATACGGTTAAGTTCGTCATTATTCCACGTTTCATCGATAATGCTCGAGGGGTACTGCGCGCACGACTTCGGTATTGAAATGCGATGTACATTTATCGATGCATATCTCGTAGCTGTTACCAAATTATCACATGTCGTATGTACAGGAAAAATAAATTTTTCAGCCATAATTCCGGTCCATGTACCTGTGAAATAAGAAAAACGAATTAATATGGCGAATAATAAAATATTCCATAAATTAATAAAGCATGAATCGATGATGGAATACTCGATGAAGCTTAACATAAAGTGTAACGTAAAAGCAGAAGTAGTACTTAACCTATAAATGTTAACATATATGTACTATACTTAACATATAGTTTAACGCGAAAGTAAGTAGAAGTACCGAGATTGTTTAGCCCTCGATTGATAAATTTACCGTGTTACCAAATTATCACGTGTCGTATGTACAGGAAAAATAAATTTTTCAGCCATAATTCCGGTCCATGTACCTGTGAAATAAGAAAAACGAATTAATATGGCGAATAATAAAATATTCCATAAATTAATAAAGCATGAATCGATGATGGAATACTCGATGAAGCTTAACATAAAGTGTAACGTAAGAGCAGAAGTAGTACTTAACCTATAAATGTTAACATATATGTACTATACTTAACATATAGTTTAACGCGAAAGTAAGTAGAAGTACCGAGATTGTTTAGCCCTCGATTGATAAATTTACCGAGTTATAATTTATATGCGATTCAAGAGTCACGTACGTGTATGCTCGCGGGGGAATCGTAAGAATTTTTACAACGATTATTTTCATGGCTGCTCCGGTTGTGAATACAATGTACAATATAAAGCACTGTAGCAGACCGTGGTAGATATCGCGGAGAGGACTGTGCCACGAAGCTCCATTTAATCTAGAGCAAATACGGGACGCTTCGCTTAAATCAAGACAGAGTTAAGGAGAGAGAACAGTTTCCTTTGTCGGCTCTAATCCGAACAAACAGCCATATACCACGATTGTGTCACCCAAATTCTTGTTTCATCCAAAATTATCCTACCAGTGGCTACCGTATATTTTATTCAGCAAATGTGAACGTATCTGGAAATTTCTGTGAAAGTCAGCAAGTGTAGTTTAATCACGAAAATGCATTCACCTATTATGTAACAAAAGATGCACTGAAATATTGCGTCTTTATAAAAGTTGATTGTAATTTCATCATGGGTTAAATTTGATACATGAAAATTGTCAAGAATTGCCAATTATTTGCTTATTATCTCAGTGCATATGGAAAATTTTTTAAATTATTGAGATGCACTCGTATTTAAGTGTAATAATACAAATTTGTGGACCATAATTTTATACATTTATAAGAAGAATCAGATTTGAATGGAACTTTGTACAATACACGTATATATTTTTAATTACTATGATTTAAGGTTAAGGGATACAAGCCTGCTACAAAAATAGTTTTCCAAAATGCAAAGTCGGAAATAGAAATAGAAAAAAATATCTTTTAATAAAAATTGATGGATTATTGATATAATCCTATCAAATCCCTAATTCTTGGAATCGGTTTTTGGAGTGTGTTTTTATCCCTTAAATTTGAGGTACAATAGCTGAAACAATATATAATAGATTAATAGATTAACTATTACTATTAACTGTAACTATAATTGTACTATATATTGCTATAGCTATTAACTATAATTATTAGATTAATAAAATTAATAATAATAGATAACTTTGCCTATAGTTCAAAGCTTTGTTCAAATCGGATCTTTTTTACAAAACTATAAGATTATATACAATTACAGAAAGTATATTTTAATCACTTTTATAATAGATTGCAGTTCCATTGCTAATTTTAATCATTTTACCAATATTCGATTCTCTTTTTAACAATTTCCATCACCGATTCACTTTTGCTCACTAGTATACATAAACTTTAATATTTATAATGGAGTACTCAAAAGAGTAAACATTCGTTTCAAGCGAAAATTTACTACAATTGAGTTGATAAAGCCTCGGAATTAATTTAATTAAGTAACGTGAAGAGCAATATCGACATAAAGCCTCATCAGCAGATGATTTCGAAAATGGTCCTTGTCACATCAGATCCTGTGCGAGATATTTAAAATTTATTGACCATTCAATTCTCTGCAACTTTGTCAAAAATAGTTTTATCTTATCAGAATGTAAATGCGACCCAAAATAAATAATCTAGTTGTGTCTTTCTAACTTTTCACCAAAACCATTTTCATAATTACTGACACAAATAGACTCCTATGTCGATACGAGTGAATATCGTTGGAAAACATGTAAACGAATATTCCATGCCCGAAGCTATTCTTCTGTACAAAATAAATCCATGCTACGCCTGGTACATTCGCACCAGCAAACGTACGCCTCTAACTCTGATCGACATTTCGCCCGTTGACCTCCCTCGACTTGACTTGGCTCGACTGCACCTTTCCCCGAGGTCTATGATGTTCGGCGTAATAATGAACGAGCACGTGGAGATATAAAATTGCGCAAGTTTTCAATGGAACATCATCACAGTTCGCGGGTAGCTTTGACGCGACGTCGTTGAGGTCGGGCTGCTGGTGTGGGTGGTGGTTGGCACAGGAAGGAAGAAACGGCGTTTTCTACTTATCCTGAAAAAAAAGCTGCAGGCACTATCACACGAAGGGGTCCCGCTTTGAAAGGCTTTCTTTGCCCGATCGTGGCGCAGTCTCCAATTAACGCTTTCCGCACAGTCAAAAGGCCCGACGGTGCGCTGAAAAGTGGATTAAAGCGTGCTCCGTTTGCTATCGCCTTTTACAACGTTTACAGACGCGGCCGTATGTACGTAAGTACGCGCTGCATGTTCCTTGCACTCACACTCGATGCCGACACTCCGGTCCGCCTATATTCTTATTCCTTGTGCCCGTG